CGCAAATAAATGACAGTTGTCTATAAAAGTTTGACGTTTGAATTTAAAAATCAAGGTTGCCAAATTAAATTTTAAATTTGACACCAAATCATTTATAGTCACCCGATATTTACCTATTTTACTTGAAAAACATCCTAAAATACTTGATAAAGGTAAAAATAATGACTTGATTTGATGCTTTTATAGTTTGTTTTAGCAAAATCTTGACATTTTTTGCATTTCTTGTCCTATTTTTTTGACAAAATTTCACTCAAAAAGAGCTAAATCGAATGAAACAAAAGAAATAACATCAATTTAGATTTATTTTTGTTGTYTTTGAGCATGTTTTGATAATATCCTGCAAAATAAATGAGTCTCTGGTTCAAAAACGAACTAAATCGAGCTGAAATGGTATCAATTTCAATCTAATTTGGTAATTTTTCAGTCAGTTTTAGCAAAAATTTGAATGTATTTTAAAAACGTGCTGAAACACTCTGAAAATGCAAAAATAACACTAGTTTTGGTCTAATGTGATAAATTTTCGGTTTGTTTTCAAGGAAATTTCGCAAAATAGTTCTATTTTTGGCTAAAAACAAACTAAAACGCTCAGAAATGGACAAAATAATGTACTTTTCGGCTTATTTTAGCGATTTTTTTACCTTGTTGGGTGAAATATCATTTAGAAAAAGAAAATTATCTCTTGGTTTTTCAACTTTTTTTTTGAGAAAATTTGGCTTTTGAGTTTCTACATGTCTAAAGAACGTGCAAAAAAAGCAAAAAAATAGTGTCATCATTTTTGATCGAATTTACTACATCAAAATAGAAATTTTACAAGATTTCAGGAATTTAGTAAGTTTCTAGATGAGAAATGGTCCTAATATCATAAAAAATAACTTATTTCAGAGCCAATTTTACAAGTTTTTGTCTTGTTTTGCATTTTTTTTTAAATATTTAGTTTCTTGATTAAAAAATGTTTAAAACTTTTCGAAATAAGTGAAAATAAGGCTTTTTAGACCTAATTTCGCAATTTTCTGTTTTATTCTGTCAAAATCTAGAAGCAAAACTTTTTAAATTCATCAAAATAAAATCAAAAATTGTAAATTTCAGACGTAATTTTGAAATTTCCTTCTTAGTTTTAGTGAAATCTCACTAATTTTGGGAGTTTTTTGGAAAAATACTTGATAACAAAAAATAGGGCATTTCTGACTTAATTTTACAAGTTTTTGACTCATCGTTTTGGGAAATTTTTTCAAATTCATTTAATTTCGCAGAAAAAAAAATGCTCTAAATCTTAGAAAATACATAAACGAAAATAAGACTTGATTTTATTATTTTTTACCTTGTTTTAACAAAATTTCCCAAATTTTGTGAGTTTCTCGCTACTAAATTTGTAACAAACTCATTTTGGAGGTAATTTTGCAATTTTTTGCCCTGTTTTGGCAAAATATATTTTGTTTTTTGATAAAAAAAAAACAAAAAAAAATAAGGCCTTTTAATCTCACAAATTAAAAAAAAATCTGCAAAACTTCAACAAAATACATCAAAATAAATGAAAATAACGCATTTCAGATATAATTTTGAAATTTTTCTTTTCTTTCTTTCGACTTTTCATAAATTTGATTAATTTTCGGTTTATTTTTAACGAAATTTTGCAGAAAGAGAACTCTCTTTCTAGCTAAAAACATACTAAAATGGACAAAATAATGTACTTTTTGGCCCATTTTAGCGATTTTTTTACCTTGTTGTTGTTATTTTAAATTTGTTAATGTTTCAAGTGACGGCTAAATCAGTAGTAGCCGTCGCAAATAAATGACAGTTGTCTATAAAAGTTTGACGTTTGAATTTAAAAATCAAGGTTGCCAAATTAAATTTTAAATTTGACACCAAATCATTTA